AAATCCACTGCTGGTGGGAGCATAAATGGTGCAGCCACTTCAGAAGACCGTCTGGCAGATCCTCATGAGGTTAAACACAAGTTACTATATGACCCACAATTCTACTCCCAAGAGACCTGAAAACATATGTCCACACAAAAGCTACTACATGAATGTTCACAGCAGCATTATCCACAAGAGCCAAAAAGTGGGAACAATATAAACACTATCAAATGATAAATGGACAAATAAAATATGGTTTATCTATAATGGAGTATTGTTTGGCAATAAGAAGAAATGAAGTACTGACACATGTGGCAATATGAACTCTAAAATGTTATCTGCTATGGTCTGAATGTTTGTGATTCCCCAAAATTCATATGACGAAACCTAACCCCAAGGTGATGCTATTAGAGGTGGGGCCTTTGGGAGGTGATTAGGTCATGGGAGTGAAGCTCTCATGAAGGAGATTATAGGAGACCCCAGAGAGCTTCTTTACTCTTTTTCTGCCATGTGAGGACACAGCAGATGAACCAGGACGCAGGTCCTCACCAGACACTGAATCTGCCAGTGACTTGATCTTGGACTTCAAGCCTCTAGAACTGTAAGAAATAAATTGCTGATGTTTATAGGCCACCCAGCTTATGTTATTTTGTTATAGCCACCCAAATTGAATTAAGATATTATCCCAGGTGAAGGAAGTCAGATACAAAGGACCACATATTGTAGGATTCAATTTATACAAAATGTCTAGTATAGGCAAATCTACAGAGACAGAAAGTAGATTTCTTTCCAGGGGCAGGAGGGTGAGGGAAGATTTAAGGGGGAATGAGGGGTGACTGCTAATGGGTATAGGGTTTCTTAAGAGATGAGGAAATGTTCTAAAATTTACTGTGGTAATGGTTGCACAACCCCATGAACCTACTAAAAACCACTTAACTGTACGCTTTCAGTGTGTGAATTGTGTGGTATGTGAATCGTATCTCAATAACGCTGTTATTTAAGAAAAAGAACATAAACAGATTTTTAAATGAAGGTGAAATAAAGATATTTTCACACAAATGAGAGCTGGCAGACCTGCACTGTAAGAAATGTACAATGTAGTTCTTTGGCTGGAGAACTGATACCAGACGAAAACCTGGATCTGCACAAAGGAATGAAGACCTAGGAATGGTAACCTGATAGGAATGAAAGATAGTCCAATAGCTTTGGAAAACAGTTTGGCACTTTTTTTTTTTTTTAAATAAAATTAAGCATATACCTACCATATAATCCAGCTATTCAACCCCTAGGTATTTAGTCAAGAGAAATGAAAGCTTATGTCCATACAGGTGTGAATTGTGTGGTATGTGAATCGTATCTCAATAACGCTGTTATTTAAGAAAAAGAACATAAACAGATTTTTAAATGAAGGTGAAATAAAGATATTTTCACACAAATGAGAGCTGGCAGACCTGCACTGTAAGAAATGTACAATGTAGTTCTTTGGCTGGAGAACTGATACCAGACGAAAACCTGGATCTGCACAAAGGAATGAAGACCTAGGAATGGTAACTATGTGGATAAATATAAAAGACTCCTGTTTTCTCATTTTACACGTCTTTAAAATATAAGTGACTGTTTCAAAAAGGCAAAATAAATTAAAATGAAATTAAATAATTAAAAAGAAAGACACTGAATGTTTTCCTAGGAAATTCAAAAGAAAAACTGGCAGGAAACAAACTTTGAGGGAGTAGGAATTTGACAGCTGTTTCTTCTCAGAAGGAAAAAAAAAATAGAAAATACTCTGAAGTGGACTTTCAAAAGTTAAACAAGTAAATTTTTTAGAAGTCCGTGCCTCAAACACTCTCCACAGAAAACCATTATCTTCTATTCATTTCAATCCATTTTGAGTGAATTAAGATATGGTACCTGCTTTTAAGATACTAAAGTCGGCCACACAACCTGTGTGGGGTTCTGACGTTTATAAAGTTTTTTTTCAGCTTATGATAGCATGTTAAAGCAAGGTGCACAATTGTTTATAAAATAATGTCAATTACGCAAAAATATCCTGTTCACAGAAAAACAGCTCAATGAAGTGGGCAAATTAAGTCAGTGAAATGATAGTTCACTTGTTCTCTTGTTTTCTTGATTTTCAATCTTTTACTTTAACTTGGGAAGATAAAGTCTCTTTTTTTTGTACTAGTATCCAAATCTCACATGAAAATTGGTTCTGAGAGACTATTTTGAATGAGTCAAACTCTGTGCTGGGGACAATGGGAACATCAATGAGCAACAAAGTTCAAGCTCTCAAGGAATCTATAATCTAGTAGGACAGATAATGTCCCTATGTAGCCATGCACAATAACTAAAGAGCAAATGCCACGGGAGTGGAGTGGAGGAAAAGAGAAAAATGGATAGAGGGTAGAAATTAGCAAAAACTTTATGTAGTTTCCTTTTTATCATGACAACTGTACAAACTTTTCTATACAATGGCCAAGATGAACCTGATTATTACACTATCCATGCTAAAGGATTGGTAAGACAATTAAAAAAAAATGTGGACATGTCACCAGAGAAGAAATACAGATGGCAAATAAGCACATGAAAAAATGCTCAGTATCATCAGCCATAAGG